ACACACCCAACTTGCTAAAATCAATCTAGTATAGACACATTTAACTGTTTGTACACGATCATACGACCAAAACTCAATTTCATTAGCACTAATTGATTTTATCATAGTAAGAAAATTTTTTCAAGTGTATATGGTAATGTAAATATAGCAGCATCACTGATTATAAATAATAAAATCCAATCACATCGAACATGTTGTTATCTTATTTCAAACCAATATTAAGTACTAAATGTATTTAATAATATATCAACTTGTTCTTCTTGATTATTAATATGTTTAAAATTAAAATTCATTTTAAATCGAGACTTTTTAATTTGTGGTAAAATATCAGTAAGAAATATTTTTCATTCATATCCATTTAAATGGACACCCGATTTTTCAAATGTCAAGTAAGATAAATTTTTTTTAGACTTTGGAAAAGATATCTCATCGACATATTAATTAGTTTTATACAGTCGTTGAAAATGTGATGTATATTGTAATAAATAAGATAAAATTTGATAGTTTTCATGTTAAGATATTCTATACATTCTCGATGAAAACAATCAAGATTACAATAAATAAGTTAATATTATTCATTATGAAGAGATTCTATTTTTTCTTCACTATGAAAAAATAACATTTAATTATGTAAATGTTTGTTTTCTTCTCATACATAAAAAAAATAAACGTGCCGTGTTCTTTTCTTCTTATCGATTATTATTCATTACTATGTCAACAAAAAACCTTTTCTATAGCTAAGACTCATAATCTTATTTCAGTCAATATCTTTATTTTTCAAAAAGAGAAGATGTGAATGTGAGTATTATTCTTCTTAAAAGGTAAGTTAATATGAAGCACATAGATATTCGAGGAAAAAATTAGATAGTAAACATGACTTTGATAAGTCGTATTTCTGTCAAGTAAAATAACCTATATCACATAACAAATATGTTGATTTTGTTATTTTAAAATTGCCTTTTATCAGAGTTCAATCTTCGAATATCATATCAACCATCCATAGGTAAACAACTAATATATTTACACCAATTAGATTTGATTCTTCTTGAATAGATATTTCTCTGTTAAAAGAACGAATATGACAATTGCTATAGCAAATACAATAAATATAACTAACCATATCTTTTTTTTTGTATATTATTAAACAATAGTCAAAGATTTTTTTTTAGTGATCCTAATATTGTCGAACATAAAAATAAACTCATAGAGAAATCATCCATATAATTGAAATGATCAATGTTTGGGTATTAATTCTGGTACAAGATTAACAATAATATCAACTAAATAAAGAATAGATTATATTTTTGAATGATTTGTTTATTTTCAATTATAAAATAAATCAAGCTATGATAATGCAATCATTGAAAATAATGAACCACCACATTCTATTTGAGAAAGTCCTTATGCTGAAAAATGTACACCAAACATAAAACAAAAAAACTTCCTGATATTAAATAAATAAAAATGATGCGTAATCTATCGATAATTCTCTCTATTTCTGAAGTAATAACAAGTTTTGTAAATAAACTTGAAGCCATATGAGCTATTCCCACATGTAAGAATATTGATAGAATCAATCGATATCATTGATTAGGTTCATCCGAAACATCATTAAAACCACATAAATTACTAAGAGTACATTTAATATATGTCGAGTTTGTAGTATTTGAACAAGGTATATTCGTTGAATTTAATTTATTTATAATACCATTAATTAGATGGATACAAAAAGAGAAAAACTAACAATCATATTGATGGAAATATACGCACTTGGTTTGAACAATGGATTTATAAAAAGAATTTTTTAACACTCACACCGACACCGCATAAAAACATTCTTCATATAAAATAGATCCATCTTTTAAATTAAAATCCTACAGTTATAGCGAATGTTGAACTAGTCTTTTCTCTTATCTAAACCTAATCAAAAACAATTATACAAGGCAGTAGTTGTTTTTCTGATCGCAAAGTTACATGTTTAACACTGGTTAATGGTTAGCTAAGACATCAATAATAAATCTTTGCGAGCTAATCTTCATCACCTACCACCTACTGGTAATAGTAGTGGGAATATGACACTCTTTGGCTTTACCTGGAAAAAACGAAACTTTTGTTTTTACTAAAACACTTGGGAGTGGAAGGAAAACAGGAACTTAAATCATAAAAGTCATTTTACGGAAAATAAACCTCAAAAAAAAGATGCGGGAACCTCTAATAGAAATAGATCAATTCAAGCGATAGATAGGGCACCAAATAGCATTATTAGCCTTGAGGGTGTGGATGTGGATGTGGGTGTACGTGTAGCTGTAAGTATGAGTGTGGATGTAGGTGGGTGAAGTGAATAATGGTACACACACATACATCCACACCCCACCCCAAATTTAAACTTAATTGTAAAAGATCAAAGACTAATTCTTGATAAGCAAACTCTTTTTTTCTACTTTATGTTTTTTTCGATCCAGTTCTAAATATCAATACCTAACGAATAAGTTAACTGAACTTATTCATCTTCATTTTGAACTCATATTGACACCAGAAGGATTTGATTAAAGTAGAAGAGTTTAAGAGAGAGTCAAATTATCAGTGTTTTACCGACTTTTCGACCTGCAAATGTCCATAGATTTAAGTCGTGTGATTCATGGAATAGCCTGAAAATTATAGCTAAAAATAAAACTTCAATTTATTGAGATATTGCATTTCCAAGTAAATTTTATTTTAACCATATTTTATTTTTGCTACAGATTTCAGATGGTTCAAAATGTTATTAAGGTGTTTTCCTCAAGAAAGGTCACTTCTAATCGGAGTGATCGAAATTGAGATAAATACACGGGAAGATAGTCCGTGATCTAATCTTTTAGAGATGACAAAATTTTTACTCTGTATATCGATTTTAAAAAAACCGACAATCATATTTGACGCTTAAAAAGTAAGTATTTTAAAAGAAAAAGGGGCAACATCATGCCCTGCATCTTAATATGCTCCTTCAAACAAAAAAAAAGATTAATATATTGGACGAACTTGGGCAGAGGAATTTGGATTGCCTTGTCTGCTATTTTTGATCCTTGTTTGGTCGATATTTCTATGAAACATAACGATTTCGGACTGAAAATTTTATGATAGCCTTCCCACGCTATCCTATAGCATATTCTTCAAATTTCGGACCATTCGGACGTTCCTAAGTTGAGATCAATTTTTGAGAGGAAGTGACGGTCATAAATCGATTAATGGGCGAAATTACAGACTGAAATTTGATTATTTTTTTTTGAACATAATTTATATTGAACGATGGGTCGAAAATACACTAAAACAATCATAACACAACTTCTTTCAAGTGTTTTCCTACTCTAAGCGAGTTTTGTTTTTATTAGCTTAATATGAGTTTAAATGGAGAGAAGCCTTGAAGATCTATGGTTTTTTTAATGCTTAGATATAGCAGAAGTTGAAATCTTAGAAGGTAAGTTAAATTATTTTTAATTTTAAAAAATAAAAACAAACATGATCGATTTAAGATAATAGATGTTCAACGTATGCGAATCATGCTATTATGCCTACTGTTTCATCTAAGTAAGTTTCTTTTTAGTGATACAATGAAATTCGATAAGATAAAATTAATTATATCCATAGGAAACTCGATAAAGCTAGATTTTTTATTTTTGCATTTAAATATATACTAAATATTGCTATGCGTATATAATCATTCATTAAACATAACCGTATAACTTAGAAATCGACATCTTGTCTGATAATTTGTTCAAAAGTGAATTGAATAGATTCACAGTATTATCGAACGTTGTTAAAAAGAAACAATAATATACATGTTCTAGATAGGTTTACTGTATAAATACGAAATCAAGTCTTGAAAAGATTCGAGTCGACAGATCGAATTCTGATATTATTCAGTAGTTTATCTGCTGTAATACTACAGAAAAAAAACGAGATTTTCTGCAAATTAGGATAGTTTTTTTAATTTTTTCTTGCAGCTTTGAGCTTGAAATAGTCGTTTATATATTCTATTGCACGGTATCGAGCCGAACTTGAATCTAAAAGATAGATCGAAATGCTAAACTTTTTGATATTTGAAGAGATCTGATTCAAAACTTTTCTGTTTTCTCAGATTAGGATAGGATTTTCATCTGGCTAAGTTTTGATTGAGGATCGTATGAAGATAAGAAATCTCTGAAGTCGACCTTGGATATTTTTGATAAAAGAACCATTCTGATAAAGAACATGGTAAGAAATGGGTAGTATTTCGAGATGTTGACTATCGCAAACCGAGTTTTATGAAAAATAAGCGCAATATTCGGAATCAATATCCAAAAATGTACTAGTGGCTCTATTTTTGAGCGAAATTTAGACGAATGGGGGTGGTATCAGGTTAACGTTTTAGGAATAGATGGTTGAGCAAGGTAGAGATCTAATTTTGATAGAATAATAGTTACTGATATACTGTTACATGTTGATTTCAAGTATCATCCTTATTTTTCATCTAAATGAATTTTTTATAGTTAAAATCTTGAAATATTATCCATTTTTATAATCTTTTCTAAGATTTCTTGCAAAGATAAAAAATGTCCAAGATCTAGTTGAATTATTTTATACGTTCATATGATCCTTAATGAAAAACTAGTTAAACGAAAAAAAAGAAATTGTATCAAACGAAGTGTGTAGCTCATGGAATAAGTGTCACTTCCTTTCACTTTAAGTTCAATGACAAGAAGTAGTCAAATGAGAAAAATACATGCAGTGAATGAAATAAAAAAATAACACGTTCAATACAGATTATGTAGAAAAGCAAACTTTTGAATCAATGAAGTTTTAAAAGAAGAGATTCCTTTTCGTATTCGTCGTCTATTATAGTTCATCCTTCGTAATATTATTGTGCTTTTATGTATTCAAGATACAGAACGATTATTGATGAATGTCCATTAATATTTGATGAAGCATATGGTCTTACTCAAGCAGATCATTCTATTGAATTTTGTGAATATGAAAAAGATTGTCGATTTCTACTATATGATTATTTTATCAAAAACCGTAAATTAAAAGAAGTTTATGCTCAACGTTTAATACAAGCCGTTGCCGATAATCACGATCCCAGAACAACAAAATTATTTGATGAAAATGAAAACATAATTAATTATCTTTGAAAAGTGCCATGTCCTTTTATTTATGGGCAACTTGATTTAATGCAATACAGTCAAAAATATTTTAAAACAGCATTTACAACTTCAGCATCATGTTTGCAACGGCTTTGCACAAAAATTAGTTGATATTTTCGAAACGACTCGATCAAAATATAACACTACTTCGTCTTCATTAATATCATTGACATAATCAAAAGAAGAGAAAGTCTTAAAATTTTTTTCATTGATATTTGCCTAATTTCTTTTTCTTTTTGGTTTGTGTAAATAAAGAATTCAATTTTTAAAACATATATTTAAGTAATTTGTTGCTACCAATGTTTGATTAGACTTTTCCAGTTCAAGATAATAAATCAATAAGATCACACTAACAAGAAAACATACAATTGTTAGGAATCACTCTCTCTCTCTCAGTATCACTAAATTAAACTTTAGAGGATTAGACTAGGGTGTGGGTGTCTGTCCCAAAAAGTAGGATGATGTTTCTTTCGAACTTTCAACTATAAAATAACAAATACATTTAATTTCATCAAAAAACTTATAGATATGAGGGTCGATATAGTATATATGGAAAAGATTTTATCCTGGCCGACTTCTGCGAAGAAAACACTACAAAGACGAGTAGTTACAACGGCAAACTTGAGAATTTCTTCGGTTCGACTGAATTTAATTGAAGGGGCATGTGAGACAAAATAAGCACTTTCATGTCTTCTGCACTTCCTTATCAAGTGTAAGATACAATAGTTTAAGTAGAAAACAATTATGAGATATTGAAATAATTTATTTAGCATGATCTAGGACAGTGAGCAGGAATAACATAATCACTATCACTTGCATGAGGAGTGAAATTATAAACCTCAATAGTACGAGTAGAAAGTGCTACCAGTTGACCGGTGCTTGTTACAGTTTCACGATTAACAATATCCTCATGAACCAATGCGCACAATGGAACATTGCTTTTGTCATTAGCGAAATTTTGAGCAACAAAGTTATGAGTAGTTTGGATGGTATTGGGGCCAGCAATCTTGGTACTGTTGGATCCATATAACTGAGCTTGAAATCCTACACCTATACCAATGTTATCAATAAATTGTAGTGCATCTGTAACACAAGTAATATGGTAGATACCAGATGGCTTAGTGGTTTTCTTGCAAGTACATTGTTTAGCATCGTATGTAAACTCAAAGCCGAGAAGACTTGTTTTGTCAGTGATAAAACCAAGAGTGGTTCCTTCAAAGAATGGTCCAGTACCATAAGGCTCTGCACTAAAATCGATACGATATCGGTAGTTGTCTAAATCAGGATAGTGTATGTATGACATGATGATGTTGCTTGTAGCACAACCACTTGATGTACAGTTACTCAAAGTGACAGAGGAGTCGCGTACACTCACACGATGTCCACGGGGCATGCAGCAGAGATCAGAATCTGCTACTACGACGTAAACAAATAGGAAAGTAATCAAGAAGATGATAATACTGTTGTTGCTAGTCATGTTTTATGTGAAGAAAACGAATCAGATTGAATATTAATTAGAAAACAATCTAAAAGCAACATAATTGTAACTGAAAATAGTCACAGTTGTTTGGCATTTCTATTATTAATTTATGCCAATTTTTGTTAAGTAGGATCATCTAACGAGATGAAAACACGGTCATGATTCCTAACATTGACACCAGGGCTGTCATATTTACGTCATTTGTAAACGTAATTACCTTTTTTTAGCCATAAAATGTCTTGATGCCGGAAGTCATATATTAGAAGAAAGAGCGCAAAATTCTGAGACAATTTGACACTTTGTGTCTATCTTAAATGCAAACCGACATGGTTTTTAGCGTAGAACGAAAAGTAGTTACTTTCGAACATAACATAAATGTGACAGCCCTAAATGACACCAAGTGTAATAACTTCACCACACACAGAAATGAAGTTTCTGCTTCTTCAAAATCAGTGATTACTCCGATCCAAAGATTAGAAGCGTGTGGGACTTCTATTGCGACCCGATGCTGAATTCGCTTCGTGAGATTGTTTTAAACACTCGATTCCTACATATAAAAATTAAGAAAAAAACAAACTGGAACCATCAATATAAATTGGCGATCTCTCAGCTATGCACACCGTGATTTTTCTCGAAGGGAGACCGCTAGTATGGAAGGTTCTAGTAGAGTACCTATTATCATTTCGTACACATGGAAATATAATCTCTTTGCAAACTTTAAAAAGAAATCTCTGAGCATTAAAAAATACGAAATAAATAACGTAATATCTTGTCTGATTAGACTCACGTTGGTCTTGTAAGACTGCGAACCCCACACGAACAAATGTTTGCAGCGACATTATGAATTTCCTCTTCCGAAACCGAGTTACTGAAATAATTCATATTAGAAAGAGATATTCACAATTGCTGATCTACATATTTTGTTTGTTGCAAATTTCTCCTATGTTTAGGATCAAGATGAATCAAATCTGACAAGTGGCGATTTCTAGATGGAAGAAGTGCTAGCGCTGATGGAACTACGCTTTATTGTATTTCTTCTTATCAAGAATCGCATCGTTTTTATACAAAGCATACGCTGATATACTAATCCATCCGAGAGAAGCAAAGAATACGAAAGAAAAAGAATCACGATAATAAAATAAGTGCAACATGACAGAGGCAAAATACAACACGATGTAAGAAATAAGGACAAAAATAAGGTCAATATATAAGATAAAAAGAAATAGTAAGAAGAGAACAAATATCATGCTTACAATGCACTCTACGGGAGCGTTACACACACGCTGAAAAAAAAGAAACTTACATAGGAGCTTGCAGTAAATGGGTGTAGTTCAGTCAAAGAAGGTGCTAAAAAAGTGCAGTAGATGCCAAGCGACAGAGAATATTAGTGCTCTCTTTTGAATGCATGGGGAAGATATGAATTTAGGAGTGTTGATAAAATTTTCAAAAACCAAGTCCTACTATCACTTGAAAATCATCGTATCTTGAAAGTGGCATCCGAACTATTCGAAGTAGGAGCGCTATCATTCATGTTTTCGTTTCGAATTTTGAGAGAAAAGGGAATTGGTTTTTTAAAGTGGCAGATAAAAGGAACATATGCACTCAAGTTTGGAGACCGGTGTATAACAAGTTGAAAAAAGTTCTTTATAGAGGGAGAGAACAAGTTACTGAATATCTATTGAAAATCAGGCTCATCTGGAAAATCAAAAGTAAAGAGACGAACTGGGCATCTCGTCTCATGAAAACGTCTTTTTTGCTAAAGAATAGAAAAGTAGTCATCGTTTAAGAGCAGTCCCTTATAAAATGAAACCTTATGTTTTCTTTCCCAGGCACGCCATCCAAATAAAGAGTAGAAATTGGAGATAAAGAGAATCTTTCTTCCTTCACAGTTGCTCTGTCGCTATGAGGAGAGAAAGTCAGGCATGAGTAAAACAACAAATGGAGACAGAGAGAGAGAGAGAGCGGCAATCTATTTTGTCTTCTTGATCATGATTTATTATAAACAGCTGGTTTCATTATGATAGGGCCTACGTAAAGAAATTTTCTCGACGGCGTTCGATTATAGAATAGAATTTGTCGCATTGAGCAGAAAATGTGCAAATTCACATTTTGTCTCACTGTATTTAATATGTAGATATTAACAAAATTCGATCCTAGAGACTAATCAATGAAAGCACTCTTTTCTACAGATTCCCTTCTTTTGTAGCATGAATCTTATGTACTGAGAATTGCATATTTGTGTAAATATTTTTTTCATTGAAAGACCCCCAATTGGCTATGTCTCTTGAGGCACGCTACAATGGCCCCCAACTCATAAGTTTATCCGATTTTAGTGAAAATTTTATCAAAGCTTACATAAGGCGAATTTTGGTCGTTGTTACTTTTGACTTTCCTAACATTATTATACGTGAGGATGTGGGTGAAGAGAAGATCAATAGCCATACACACTCGAAAATGTCGCAAAGCATCTCATGATCTTCTCAGAAGTAATAATATGAATGAGACAAGATAATAAGTTATTGATTATTTTTTATCATTTGTCTTCTAGATTTAATAATGATGTTACTATTGGAGCAATGAGACAAAATAGAAAAGAGAATTTCAAAAGACTGTTGAACTCAAGATATTTAGAAGCAATAAGAAAATTTTAAAAAAAGTCACGTGATTCTCAAGACTTTATTAATTGTCCTCAAACTTAACAGAACTTCGTAAGTCGAAGAGAGCTTAGAAGTCAAACGATACTTTTCTGATGCATCTATCTTTCCTTTTTTGTTGACAAACGAATGTAATCAAAAATCATTTTAATCAACTTAGCTAACGATTTCTGTTGTTAAAACTGCTTTCATTTGTATACTGTTTATTGGAATATTTTAATTATGCCGTGATGCATTTATAAATATGTTTTGCACATAATTATTCATAGAAGGGTGTGGGTGTGGGTGTGTGGGTGTGGGTGTGGGTGTGGGTGTGGGTGTGGGTGTGGGTGTGTGGGTGTGGGTGTGGGTGTGTGGGTGTGGGTGTGGGTGTGGAGTGTGAGTGTGGGTGGGTGTGTAGTCTGGGCCCCTAGACGAACTTCTTTTGGTCTGCGCAAGAGAAACTTGAGAATCTTGACCAAGAAAGTCCTGCGCTATGGGCAAAACTTGAGGCAAGACTTGAAACCTTTCGGTGAGACCAAGTTCTTGAACATCTTGTGCTATCGCTTGATATTCTTGCTCATCCACTTGAAAGTCTTGCCTATGCACTTGAATTCTTACCCAAGCGTTTCTGTCATTAAGAAATATTTTAATTTTTTTTCAATTTTACGTTGAAAATAACTCAACTTTTAATAAAAATTTATAGTTGCATTTTCTTGAGTTGAGCACTTGAGTTTCTTGTAACTCATGCAAACACTCAAGCGCTTGTCTTGAGCAAAAAAGTCATGCGCTATGGACAAACCTTGAGTTTTGCGCAGGTCAAGAGCATGAAAAAAAAGTTCGCCTTGGGGTATCATTGAAGGAAAACTTCACGGACACCCACACCCACACCCACACACCACACACCCACACACCCACATCCACACCCACACCCCACACCCACACCCCACCCACACCCACACCAGTGTCGCCAGAGTTTGTGGTCCGAAGAGCAGGAAGGCGCGATGGCAATTTTGCGCGAAGAGCAACGTGGTGGTTCATGATTCTGATATATTGAATTTTTCTCTTGAAACAAAAATCCTCCAGTTTGGGTTCAAGAAATGGATAAGTTTTGCTTCTTGTATGAATTGCTGTTCGTGGATATAACGTTGGGGGATGCTGAAGATTGCCGGGAGTGATTAGGCAGGACATCCAATTTTTAAAGAATTTTCCTATAAAAAAAGCTGTTAGCGCAATCCCTTGCGGGATTAAAAATGTGAAACACGATGAACCTACTGTTACTAATTAAATGGAAATCCTTTTGTTCCATTCCCTTACGACACATTTTTAGCTGACCGTATATTTGATGCTTTACAACTACAATTCCGGTGTCACGGTCTGTGATGGGTATCCGGGTTCTCTGTCACGGTCTGTGACGGGTACCTGGATTCTCTGTCACGGTCTGTGATGGGTACCCGAGGTTCTCTGTCACGGTCTGTGACGGGTACCTGGATACTCTGTCACGGTCTGTGACGGGTACCTGAATTCTCTGTCACAGTCTGTGATGGGTACCCGGGGCTCTCTGTCACGGTCTATGATGGATACCCGGGGTTCTCTGTCACGGTCTGTGACGGGTACCTGGATACTCTGTCACGGTCTGTGATGGGTACCGGAATTCTCTGTCACGGTCTGTGACGGGTACCTGGATTCTCTGTCACGGTCTGTGATGGGTACCCGGGGTTGTCTGTCACGGTCTGTGACGGGTACCTGGATTCTCTGTCACGGTCTGTGATGGGTACCCGAATTCTCTGTCACGGTCTGTGACGGGTACCTGAATTCTCTGTCACGGTCTGTGATGGGTATGGATTTTCTCTGTCACGGTCTGTGGGGGGGGGGGGGGGGGGGGGGG